CCACACAATATGGAACGCTATTTATCCCTCACTCTAGGAAATTTGAGATTTATAGACAGTTTGCAATTTCTGAATACATCTTTAGAAACTTTAGTTGCAAATCTCGCATCTGATGGGGACAAACATTTTCACATGTTGAAAAAAGAATTCAAAGACCCTGGCATTGTTGAGTTGATGTTGAGAAAGGGGGTTTATCCATACAGTTACGTAAAAATTTTTTCTAATTTTGATGAAGACTGTCTCCCTCCTAAAATAGCCTTTTACAATACATTAACGAAAACAAGTATCACAGATGCAGAATACTCTCATGCTCAAGACGTATGGAAAGCCTTTAATCTATCCACTCTTGGAGAATACCATGACATTTATTTGAAATCGGACGTTTTGCTACTTGCAGATGTTTTTGAAAGCTTTCGAGATATGTCTCTGAAGACATATGGTCTTGATCCAACGCACTTCTATAGTTGTCCACAACTGAGCTGGCAAAGTGCGTTAAAAATGACGAAATGCAAACTAAAGCTACTCACGGACCCAACACAATATTTGTTTTTCGAAGAAGGGATTCGTGGAGGTGTTTCAACTGTAACGAAACGTTACGCTAAGGCGAATAATCGTCATCTTAACGAAAGGTATGATGAAAAGATGCCATCCAACTATCTTCTTTATTTGGATTGTAACAACCTATATGGAGCTGCACTTTCAGATTATTTACCGTATGAAGATTTCAAATGGTTGAATGAAGAAGATGTTAAAACCTTCGATGTTTTTGATCTCGCCGATGATGGCGAATATGGATGCATTGTAGAATGTGACCTTCATTATGACGAACATCTGCACAATTTCCATTCAGATTATCCCCAAGCGCCCGAAAAACTTATAATCACAGACGATATGTTGTCTCCTCACAGTAGACGTCTGTGGAATGAGTTACAGACCCCATCAGATGTGAGTGAAATTAAAAGAACAAAAACACCCAAACTGGTTCCAACATTGTTTGATAAAAAAAATTACATATTGCATTATCGAAATTTAAAACAATACTTATCAATGGGTTTGAAATTGCAAAAAATTCACAAGGTTCTCATGTTCAAACAGGCACCTTTTCTTAAACCATACATTGATTTAAACACAGCAAGAAGGGCGCAGGCAAAAAATGAGTGGGAAAAGAATTTCTTCAAATTGATGAATAATGCTGTGTTTGGAAAAACCTTAGAAAATTTAAGAAATCGTGTAGATGTAAAATTGGTTCAAACACAAAAAAAGTTAAAGAAACTTGTTGCAAAATCAAATTTGAAGCGATTTGAAATATTCAACGAAGATTTAGTAGCCGTTGAATTAGATAAAACAAAACTTATTTTGAACAGACCTATTTATATTGGACAGGCTGTTTTAGACATTAGTAAAACTATAATGTACGATTTTCACTATAATTACATCAAACAAAAATTTGGAGATCGTGCCCAACTCTGCTTTTAGGACACAGATTCACTTCTATATGATATTCAATCAGAAGATGTGTATATGGAGATTTCTGACGATAAAGATTTATTTGATTTTTCAAACTATCCAAAGCATCACTTTTTGTTTGATGTAAAAAATAAGAAAAAAATAGGAAAATTCAAAGATGAATGTGGTGGGGAAATAATGCAAGAATTTGTAGGATTAAGATCAAAATTATATTGTTATCGTGTGCAGAACGTTGACATTTGCAAGGCAAAGGGGATTTTAAAAAGAACTGTTCAAGATGAGTTTTCTATTTTTCAATACAAAAATTGTCTTTTAAATCACCAAACTGTGCGTTGTGAAATGAATGCTATTAGAAGTCGTCACCATAAGTTGACAATTGACAGAATTTCCAAGATTGCAATGAGCTCCTTTGATGATAAAAGATTTCTATGCGATGAAATTTACACACATGCATTTGGACATTTTGCTGATAAAATAATTTGAGATGTTAGATAAAATTTATAATATGAATTGAAAGGTACCTTTTGAATTTACTAGGTATAGTTTCTGTATAAAAATGATTATAGCTGTGGTTTGTAGAGTTAAGATTCAACTTTGTATTTTATTTTTTATGTACACTTGTATATATTGTAAATATTTTAGTGTGATTATATGAAATGAATATAGTGTGATTATATGAAATAAATATTGTTAAAAAATATATATATTAGTTTTTATTTCTTTATTTTATTTTATTTTTTTACGAAGGGGATGAAGCAAATGTTTAGCACATGGAGAGAATATAAAATAAGTGTCTATCTTTGTCATATACATGTACGAATTTAAAACTTAAGTTGAAAATAATCTTTAAGGAAGCTCTAAACACTGCACACTAAAAAGTTCTCTTTGTAGGGTAGTTTTATTGAGTTAAGAGTGATCTGCCCTTAGAACGAAAAATAGAATAAATGGAAATCTACAGTTATTGACACAATTTCTTATGAATTAAAGTATTCTTAATGTTATGTTAGACCAAGATTAATTAAATTGAATACATAATTTCCATTAATTTTCCGATGCAAGTAAACAACAGTGATTTCTATTCACAAATAGTTCATTGTATTTGAACATTTTTTCTGCAGAAAAAAGGCAGACACCCTATGTTGAAAACGAACTAGATACACTGAATATGTGCACCTTTATATGATATAACTTTCTCAAAGTCCAAAAAGCATTTTTCATTAGTGTTTAGAGCTTCCTTAAAGTAAACACAATTTCTTTTGACGGGAAAAAAATGAGAATTAACCGGCATGCACATTTTATACGGACAACAGTCATGACTTATTTAGAAGATTGTCCAATGTTTTAAAAGTCTGCATTCAGATAAGACTTGTATCAAAATTAAGATTTCGAATATCCTGAATTTCAATTCAACAAACGGCTTAAAAAATTGCGAGTCTGTATATAATTAGAATAAAAACACATTATGAAATGTTTTATTTTAAATTTAAAACTTTCTCAATTTATTGTTTTGAGACCAGTTCTAAAGCACATATTACAGAACACACAAGATTTTTATCCAATGGTATGAAGTATTTAAATATACCTTTATATTGTCATATTTTTATTAGTATATGTATCAGCTTCTAGAGTTTCTATTCTCTATAGAAAACATAGGGGGGGGGGGGGAACTCTTAATTTTCTCCTCGAATTAAAAATTGTGTTGACTATGAACATCTCTTTCATCATGTTTATAAAAAAAAAATTCAGTATAAGAATAAAAAAAAGTAAAGCAGTCTTGCAACGGAAATATTTTATTATGGAAGATCCTCGCTTGTCACCACATATATCGTATTGTTGAAACATATTTGCGATAAATGATGATATGCGATTAAGACTTTAAAATATTTTTACATACTAATACACTGATATAATAGTGTGTGGTTATATAGGGTAACACATTTTTTCTCTATGTACAATATTCCTTCAAAACTGGAAATTAAAAGTAAATACATCGTTCTCACATATGTGTGGATTATTTTTTTAATTAGTACTCTCACTTGAAATGTATTTGTATATGAATTCACTTTGAAGAACTCCTAAAGATTTATACGATGAATTGTATGCGAAAAAAGGACTAAATAGTTTCAATCGCTTTCACACTCGGCTTCGTCATTGATGAAAGGATTTTTCTTCTTTTTCTTTGCAGCTGACTTGGTCGTAGTTTGTTTTCTCTTTGATGAGGTTGGTTTAGTGTCATCCTTCTTTACCACATCCGGCTCATAGAAAGGCACATTTCCCTCATCGTCAGAACTATCTGCATACTAAAAAGAATTAAAAAATGATTATTTTGTATAAACTTCTGAGTATCATAATATATAATTTAAAAAATTGATAACCAATTTCATTTTTTTCTACATTTTTTTCCTCTTTCTTTTTAACAAATTGAAATTCACGCTTAAAATAAAATTTCTTGTAAAGATAAGATAATAAGAAACGTGTTTAATTTCTCAAAATTTCATGAATTTTCACCAATATCCTTGTGCTTGCGATATATACATAATGAATAAAGAAGATAAATACCTCCTCGGTGAGTTCCTCAGATATTTCTTTAATATCTTTTGCATAGCGCAGAAGTTGTTGAAATTCGTCCACTCTCATGCTTACAGATTTTTTAGTCTTCCTGTTCCGAATGTGAACGTAACACGTCTGAGTCTCATCATAGAAATTAACTGATATCAACTTATTACTTCCAAAGAAAGAGTAACCACTCTCTAGTTTTCCACTTTCAAAATTGTACGACTTTACAAGATTGTCTGTGTTGGCCATTTTTTCCGGTCTCGAAAGAAATATGATGGTCTGAAATGCTTGAGCAGCGCCTGCTTTATATAGTGTTGAAAGACATATTAACCGCATCCCCCCTTTCTCTTCATGATCAGCTTTATTTTCATTGATTTTCACATAAAATAGCATCCCCCCTCTATTTTTGGCTCGAAGACCATGGTTTTCTTTTATCACTTGTTATATAACAATGCCTTTCTGTTTGCTAGACATTCTCTTCTGTTAATATGCATTTGATAAGCTGAAATCCCCCTAGAGAGAAAGAGAATGATTTATTGTACGAGTTTATATTTTATTAATTTATTTTTTCATATCACTTAATTTAATTTTTTTTTCAACCACAAAACTGAAAATGAGCATATGTCTTTTTGTTATCAAATTGAATTTAATTAAAATTGTTCTGTAATATTAACACAGTAATCTGTTTGGCGTATTTTTTTTTTTAAATTTTATTTTATCATCATTATTTTTTGTTCTATCCACAAATCAGGTTCACGAACATATATTTATAATTCTTATTGACTTCAATAACTGTTCCTTATGTATTATCAGGTTGTTTGTTTTCTCTTGGTCACTAACATCACTTTCCCTTGATTTCAATAACTGTTCCTTATGTATTATCAGGTCGATTGCTTTCTCTTGGTCACTGACATCACTTTCCCGACTGATGGTCTTTAATAAAATTAATAAACTCATTTTAATTGTCCAAAATTTCTATGGATAATCATGGTATCTGTATATATCTTTTTTCAATAACTCCTAATTATTATTTGATACTTTAAATTCAAATAAAAAGGAGGCGTTGTCACAGTATTCGGGAAAAAAAAATCTTTACCAACTGACTTCCGGATTATAGTTTTTCTTTATTGACATCAAATCTGTGCGAACAACAACAAACGACAATGCGAGGCGTTATGATATTTCAAAGGACATTGTGTGTGTTTGTATTGGTGTGTGTAGAAAGTGTCTGTGGAAGAGAATTTGTGATGAACTCCAAGACTTGTAAACAGTCAACGGGCGGTCTTGTTGGGTGCGATTGGATCGGACTTGGGATTTATGTTGCGGACCCGCAATACATGATGGATCAGGACACGATCGTCTTTCGACGATTTTTTGATGGAGGACTAATTGAGATGAATGATCTACAAAGCTTGCGAGTGCTTGAAATTCAGAGTGGAGATGTGGCATGCGACGCTGTACGTGTGCAGGAAAAGGTTCGAGTGTACATTAGGGGCAAGCTCTGTGATAAAGTAAGTTGTAGAACTTTTCATTTAAATAACATTACCACCTTTTTAATGTGCAAACAATTCTTTAAAGTACGTTAAATTACTGTTAGAACAAAAAATAAACTCAGTTCTTGGTGAATAGTGCGAGTTAATTTCTTTTCTTTTATCGACATTTCAATGTAAACAAACTGACTGTCAAACCCACGCTATCTTTTCGCGCGCATTTTGACAATGTAAACACAAGAGTTATCGTTCTTTGAAAGGATGAACGAGGTTATGGAAACATTATTTCTGTTTCTGTTTCACGAATCCTATACATCTAATGAGAATATGAAAGATATGATGAAAGTTTAATGTTTTTATTCATTTAAATAAATGTTTTATACATTAGAAAACAATAATACTTATAACTTTTAACACAATATTGGCAATCTGAACATTTAAAGATTTTTTTTTTTTAATTTAGTTTTATATCAACATAAATATAATGTCTGATTTTTTCTTTCTTTTAGTCCAGCACAATGCATTCCTCTTCCCCATCATTCTCATCTGCAGTGGGTTCATCAGGTTCTTCACCACCATCTTCATCGCTCTCAGAGGTATATGTAGACCCATCTTCCTCATCTGACTCCATTGTTTCTATGAATTAAAAAATATATATATATATATAACTGTTTGAAACAAAACAATATACATTTTCAAAATCTTTTCTTCTAATTTAAAAAAAAAATCATTTATTTTTCTTAACTTTATGCTTTTTTTTTTATCTAGAACACAACCTTTACAAGCTTAACAGTTACTTTTGAAACCACAAGCAACAGTTTTCCACACATCAGCATATTGTGGCAGACCATGAATGAGTTTAAAATAGCATTAATCATTATATCAGGTAAATGCTTAAATGTTTAATGTATTCAATTATTTATATATGTGCATGTGTTGTACAGTAAATATTCATCTTTTTTTCAGTGAAATGTACTATTTTGAGTTGCTGCTTGTGTTATAAGTGTTGGGCCAAGCATTTATTTAAAAGATTAGCTCGAAAGCAACCACATCAAAACGATTGTGAAAGTTCATTAATTCATTTGAAAACCCTTTAGCTGCATTTTTTTTTTCAGGGTAAGAAAGTAATTTTTTCATAAATTCTTTAATTTCAGTGTTATTTACAGTTTGCTTTGGAGGACTTCTTATAAAAATGAAACCAAAATGTCCGAGAAGAAACAGAGAAAACATTATTTATGAACGGAATATAAGCATCACCAACTTTTAATTTTTTTTTCAGTTTTGACTCTACTGTGGTATTTAACTAAAATCAACAGACCAGTAAGAATATATCAAACCTGCCAATCAACTCAAACTCCATTGCCAACCAATACCAACTACCAGCCTTTGCGAACCACTGTTTCAAAATCGACCCAAATAATTCCAGTAAGTCCAACACAACAAGACACTCAAAGAAGAATCATACCCCATTCAGCTCCAGAACCCATACTTATCAGACAACCAAACAACACACAAAACGCGCAGCCCCTCAATCCAAATCCGATAAGACGACGTTCTCAAAGACTTCTTGATAGAAATTAAATTATTTAACTTGTGAAAGGCAATATATCATTAAAGTGATCATATGTAATCTGTAACTTGTTGCAACTTTTCCTACCTCACTGTTTGATATATATATATATGATTTTTTTTTTTTTTTTTTTTTTTTTTTTATTATTATTATTATTAAACACTGATGTATTTAAAGGATTGATTTGTTTTATGTGTAACAGTTCTTGAAGCAGTGTGATTAATTTCTACTTATGATTTTAAGAGAATGAATTATGAGCATGATGAGAGGTTGTTTTTAATTTGTACATGTATTGACTGTAGATAGGTGTGTTTGTTTATCCTTTCTAGTACTGGAAGAAAAAATCAAGGTTTGGTATTCCCCACCCCCTTTGATATATTAATTTCCAGTTTGAGATTTTTTTTTCTTTGTAGAAACAATGTGCATAATTTCTACTAGACTTGTGATTTTAAAGGAAAAAATTATGAGAGGTTGTTTTAATCAAGTTATGATTGTAGATAGATGAGTTTGTTTATCCTTTGTAGCACTGGGGAAAAAATATAGTTTTATGATTTTTTTTTCCTGATTGATTTGTTTACTTTGAACAAAAGTATTCTAGTAGTTTTTTTTTCCTATCTTTCTTTTTTATGAAGAGTGAGTGAAGGGTTGTAAATATGTTTGTACATATTCAATTTTTTTTTTTACTGTATGCATAATATTTATTTCATAAACTTAAACCTTTGTTCACAATCCTTAAAAAAATAAGACTACAAGTATTTTATTTTCACCACATTACTTTGTCTTGATGTAAAGAAGTCTTAATTTGGTTAAGAAAAGAGAATGATTGTGATATACATTGTTTTGCCTACCATGATTTTTATGCATAGTTAGAGATGTTTAACATAGAATAGGCATGTTTATTTATTTATTTTTTGTTCAAGCAGCATTAAAAAAAATGTAGTAAAACATACCTTCTTTTTGCAAAATAATCGTTTCTTTTCGCACATCCTCATCTTCTTCAATTACAACATGTGGTCCTTTATGTTGGACAATTCTATAGAAATGTTGTCTTCCATTCATGACAACTATTGCATATTCTCCTTCAAAAATTTCAATCATTATTTCAGCAACCATGACTTGAAATGTTATGGTATACAAACAGTATTCTTTGCCAGTTTTTATATATGTACTTGTCTATTTTTTGCCCTAGGGTTTAATTGATCTAGTCATTAATTTGTTTATTACCTCATCATTTTTGTACTAATGTGTAATAAACTAGTGATTTTTGATTTTAATTGAAATTTTATTGGGAATGACTTGACTGATGGAAAACTCTCTATAACTTCTAAAGGATCATGGATAAAACCCTCAATTACCTGCTGGTTGAAAATGCAAGTACTTGACAATCATTGAAAATGGTTAAAGAGCTCTATATTTTTATTGTGTTTGAAGATAATTTATAAAATCTTCAAATAATAAAATTAGATCAAAACCAAAGTTCATTCTGAACTTAAACAATGTATACCATGATGAGTTGCAAACTATGTAAATTATATGACTATGCTTATTAGAGAGAGAGATAAGCTGTGTTTTGATGGGGGGGGGATAGTGCAATTTATTGAACGTATAAATGATAAAATAAATGAAAAAAAGTTAAATAAGTACCTTCATATAATTTCTTTGGTTGGGAAAAAACCTTTAACAAAAGTGTTATCAATATATAAAAAACAGGTAAAGAGACATTGTATTAATAAGTGTGGTTCTATATAATTGACAAGATAGATAGTTCCCAGATTGATTTAAGCATGGATTTTTACACAGAGGAACCAATATATACAAAAAGACTAGTCATTTATTGTGTTGATAAATAATTTCCAGTAAACATTAACAATCAAAATAGTCCCCAAAAGGTTTTAATCAGGGATCTCTTTCAATATTGCTAAGTAAATTGCAAGGGGACTACATTAATAGTTGTTTTATATGTATGACTCCAAAGATTATAGAACATACATAATTATATTTGTTAACAACAGAGTAAGAATTACTTAGCAATATTGAAAGAGATCCCTAGTATTTTATGATCTACATAAAGCACAAAGATCGTCTGCAATGTGTCAAGCAAGTGTCAATACATTTGTCAACACTTTATGACCTTCAATGGTCAAAATTTTATTTTATGACCTACCAAGTTGGTCTGCAATGTGTCGAGCAGGTGTCAATACTTTATGACCTTCAATTGTCAATATTTTATTTTATGACCTACATAAAACAGATGTGACATCATTATCGACAATTAATTAACTTCTCCCTCAATCCCCACTACTTCATACCCTCGGGGCGTGTTTGAAATAGCAAAATCATACTACTTAGGACTTAAAATATAATTACTATATTGCTCTTCTTTTTTTTTTTGGTTCCAGATATTCAAACAAAGTCTCATGTGAACATATAATATTTGATTTTTATGACAAAGAAACATATTATATACTGTTTATACTGTACCTGAATTTTTACTCTTTATAATAATATAATCATTATCATTGAAGATGATAATTTTTGTTACTCTAGCATTAGACGGTTTTCTATTTTTTGACATTTTAATAAGCACCAACCAAGATCACTACATCTAGTACTACATGTAGATTGACTAATAAAGGCATGAGAATATTCACTCATCTTTAAATTGATACATATATTTATTTATATTACATTGAAAAAAAAATATATCTACTAATTTTTTTCTGTTTTTATCCAATATTTATTAATATATTTTTTTATGTTGCTACATCTATGAGAACATCTACCATGTACCATATTTAATTATAATACCACTTAAATTTTTCTATATTTACTCCATCACCAAACTTACCAGTAAATTGAAATATACAAAACAAAAGGTGTACATGTGAGAGGAAAGATAATAAGTCTGCTGACAATAGTGAAAAATGAGTTCTGGGTGAGACATACATGTAAATATTAAAATATAATACATACATCTGAAGGTTAAAGATGTCATAGTAAGCATATTAATCTTGATGATATTACTAAGAGAATGATTTAGAATTGATGATTTTTTTCATCATCAATGATGAAACACTCTGAGATGAGGTGTGATTTTGTGAAACGAGGACATATATATACAGTCTCAAGATGTTGGATGAGAGCACACACAACAAAAAGCCCACACACTCCAACAACAATTTAAACAACTTACCAGTACTCTGCTGTAATAAACAATTTGTTGAGAAAAATGAAATATTGAACACAGTGATTTAATTCTAAACCCCTTACTTTCATTTACATGTATTTAATATTGAGTAATTGGGGGGGGGGGGGGGAGAGAAACTGTAGTTCGTGGTACTTATATTTTAATATTGCATTTCTACATATTTGACAGTAATTCATCTTTTACATGTAATAATTTATGCAGGAACTCTAGCAACGCTAAAAGTAACGCTGATAAAGAGAGGTGCGTTTATTGGACCTGGTACATTTGCAGACGTGTTGAAAAGGAATTCCTAAATTCACTCAAGATTCAGAGATCAGAAATTGTTCGTGATAGTCTGTACAGGTAATAATTTTTTTTTATTTTTTGCAGGCGTGTAATAAAAAAAGACCGTATTTTTCTTTTAATATCTACACTGAGTAAGGTTTATGGACAATTAAAACATCTTATGTTCATTGTTTTATGTTTGTACAGTGAGTTGTAAAAACATTTATCTCAAATCATTTGGTATTTCTAGAATAATCTCCGCTTTGAGTCCTGCAATTTTGCATTTCACGCAAGTTGTGCAGGGTATAATCTGGCCCAGTGTGAAGAAGATCAGATCCTATGCAACACATGTGCAGAAAATGGACTGGTATAAATGTTTGTCATGTAATATAAATTATTCATAACTACTACGTCATTTTCATAACTTTGTATGCATGCTCATGTATATAAAGAACACGATTTCATCCTTTTCAGCACTAACTGCATATCGCTTGAGGTTGAAGAAATGGGCAAATAGACAAAGTCTTTGTAACTGAAAACATGGCAGAACTTCTCTTCTCTGAAACAGTTGGTTTGTATATTTAATATTCTGAATGTATGTTTTTGTATTGTGGTTATTTACCTACATTTCATGGTAAGACTGAATTGTTATCATGCTAAGACTTATAAAAATATAAAGTAAATAAAGTCCTATTATGTAATAATTATAGAATAATTAGATAATGTTTAAACTAATTATTTTCACATAAAAAATGATTAACTTTTCAGATCAAAACACAAAGGATTCCTTATTACAAAACATATGTAAAAGTCAACATGAAAATACCTGCAACCCTTCAACATCTAAACACAATTTTAATGTTAAAAATGTTCGTCAATGAAAAATTAATCATCAATCATTAATTCAAGATTACCTTATTGATATGGCCCTAGTGCAATATTATTCCAAGTTCATCAATATCATTTAGAATTCACAATTCATAATTTTCAGATAACAGAAATGATTTCCTAGACATGGACAGCCCTTCAACAAGTACATCTGATGTTTTTGATCCAGGTAGTTGGGTTTTTTTTATAATATGCATTTGTTTTTGATCCAGGTGGTTGTTTTTTATAACATGCATTTGGTGTAATGAAACAATCACAGCAAAGTTTTGATGTTCAAGAGAAAGGTGTAATTATGTGAGAATGTCTACCATTATTTTATTTAAGATAACAGAAAAGAAGAATTGTACCCTCCATGTACCAGCAGAGCAGTGACATTTGGAATTTCTGAAAAAAGTAAATAGTATTGAAATAAATTGAGTAACTTTTTATTAAAATTTTGAGTTCTACCAGAAAAACTAGAATTCTATATATCAAAAGAATCTTCATGTGGTTGAAAAACTAATATTGATCAGGACGAAGTGATTATTTCAAGAATAAGTATAGGTCATTCTAAAATTACACATGCATACTTATTAAATCGAGAACTTCAGCCAGAATGTATATCCTGTGACTGCCCGCTTACTATAAATCATATTCTTTTAGAATGTTCTGATTTTTCGCCTATTCGAAGTAGACTTTTCAATAATGTCCGAACGATGCGTGAACTGTTTACAAATGTTAATGTTAATACAATTTTAGATTATTTACATGATTTTTTTAACCTATTTTTACAGTAAAATCTAAAGGTACACAATGTAATTAATTTTGTTGATAAACACAGAGAGAGTTTTATTTTAAATTGTTGAAATATTTTTAATTTTTTAAGTCCGTCGGATGGGACCTTAAATGGTGCCCCGTGCCAAGGATTGCAACCCCCTTGGCACGCAAAAAAATCGTTTCTCTGGTTTTCGGAAAAGAGTAGGCTCACGGGGGGCCGCCAGAGAAACCAAAAATCTTTCAAAACCGGTCATATAGAATTCATGTTCCGCCGAAATATGGCTGAAATACTGCCGACTCGGCGTTAAACCCTAATCAATCAATTAATCGAATTTACTTAAATCTAATAATCTAGTACATGAACCCAATGATACAAAATATTTCAAAAATGTATTCTAGAAATCAGTACACAATTTCTAACCAATTTATTCTTCATTCAAAAATAACAAATTAAATATTTGAAATTAATCGATTTCTAATCGATTATAGTGCATCCCATTATTCCGATAATCGATTATAAAAAAAATCCCGATTTCCCACCACTATAAGCAGATCTTAATACATTAAGATTTTAATACATTAAGATTCTTAATACATTACTCTAATAAAACATAGCACTTTTCAACTTTGTTACCAGAATTGTCACATAAAGGAGGGACAATTATTCCTCCTAAATATGACTCAGAATGCACCATTTTGCACAGTCTGTGGTATTTAGTTGGATCGCCTCACATTTTCAATTCATTAATTTATATTTTCATTTCCAATAAATTTCCCCTTTGATTCTTTACAAAATATAATACAGTTCATTTTCTCATGTACTACCATGAATGGGCATGAATATTTCCATTGTTACGTCATAATACCATATTTACGTCATAATACCTTATTTTATGTTAGATAGCGACCTTTATCTAAGAAGCATACTGTATAATGGAATCAATTATGTACAACTTAATATTGTGGCATTGTCACTAATAATAACAAACTTTTTATGTGTAGACACATTATTTCCGGATTTAAGTCGTTAATAAAAATTTCTTGATCATAAATAAAGTTATCATATTGAATTACATCAAAAAGTTAATAATCTTAAATTTTAATTACTGAAGATTTTAAACCAATATGACATTTAAAACACTCAAGTCGTACATCGTGAAATTATTTTCCCTATGGTACCTTAGGGACAAAAGATCTGTCAGGTGAAAAAGTTCATCATCCTTAAACGACATGTCACCAACCCTATTTATGATAAATTATGTATATATTTTCATACTTAACTATTTATGACAAATCTTTGGATTATAAAGGGTGTAGCACCTGCATTTTCCTGGTTAAGTTTTATAATCAGCGGTTCATTGTGATCTGTTGGAAATATAATGTGTACTTTGGTAGTTGAAAGTGGGAAAAGGAGGGGGGGGGGCAAAAAAAAGCAGAGAAAAAAAATTAATTCATACTCAGCTCTAAAACAGAGGTATGTGTTAAACACAAAAACGAGAAACAAGCTTCCCACATAAACGGCATGATTGATCTGAGCCCAGCGAGAGAGAAACTGACTAGAGCTTTGGTGTATGTACAATTTAAGTAAAGTGCTTGAAGATACATTCAAATCTATAGTGTGCAATTATATACTGTTATATACAATTATATACTGTTGAAGCTATTATCGATTAGAACATAAATGTTATACGTACTTTGGAAGAAGAAAAACAGTAAAAAGTGGTTAGAAAATTAGAATTCGCTTTATTTATGATGACGATGCACATATCCACTAAAAACAAACGTCCATTACGCAGCTAGGATAAGGCTGTCCGTAAAATATCAAACTGTTCCAACTGTAGTAACTTCTCTGAACTTCCTAGATATGACGTCATACTAGCATGAAATATATGGAGATAACGAACAGTATTCAAGCTCAAAAGTCCATTAAACAATACAAAATAGGAGCAGAGCTAACAGGGGCCTCTTAAACATCAGAGGTGGGATCAGGTGCCCTGGAGGAGTGAGGATCTCCTGCCGACCGGTCACACCCGCCGTGTGCTCCTTGTCATGATCGGGAAATAACGGGAAAATCCGTCGACAATTCAGTGTGTAAATAATGGCCTAACAATTAGTATGAAAAAGTCAGTCAGCATTTGACTCATTGATAAATTGTATTTGCTGACAAGGTCATTGTATCAACCATAGAACTTACGAAATGATGACTTTAAACGAGACAGCTGATATTCTTGTTTCATCAACTTGTTTTTCAATAATTTACCTCGTTTTAGAAATTGTACATACGTAGAGCATGCTCTTGCGTATCGAATCAACTGAGAGATATATACCCCGTATGCAGGTGACGAAGGTATGACGTCAAGTCACTGCATACTTGAGCTGACATGACGGGGGAAAGTTCATAACTTTTACATTCCTTTTACTTGACGTGTAAAGATTTTTTGGCGTTGTCGTTTCATTCAAATGTATTTGATTGTTCTTTTAGCTTAAATGTGCTGTTATGATTTGCAATATAATATCGTTATTCCTTTAATTTGTCCGATATATATTCAAACAATAACAAAAAAATGACTGTGAAACGCTCCCCCTTACAAGTCCGTGGCAGAGTTAGAGTTTATAGATAGTGTTATATTTGACGGGCACAAGTGATTAATAAGGATAAATTGAAGATATTCTGTGTGAATCAACTAAAGAAGTATGTCCTCTAACTGAATTTTGCTGGGGGATTGTATGTAATTTATCCTATTTTGTATAAATTGCGATAAAGAATGGAAAATACCCCCTTGTATGTGGGTAAGTTGAATTTCTCGTGGAATAATTTCTCAAGAAGTAAAATTCATACCTGCCCCCAGCACTTTATATGTACCAAAGATCACGATGAATTGACTTATGTGACAAATTTTTCTCAATAATGTTGTTTTGCACTTGTGCCGATGCGATTTTTGTGCAACATTTACGAATTTATGTGTCCGTCACGTGATCAACAAAGTCATGTGACATGATAAAAATGCATTATTATATATACTAGATTACACTCTCATCACAAGTTGACTGCAAATTCATACATAAATTACAAATTGAAATTAAAATCTAGCTCAAAATAAAATGTATATTTTAATGCATATTAAGCCTTTCGGACAGCCTTAACAAAGCTGCATACAAGCATCCAATAACGGAACAAGCATATGTTGACCTTGTAAAAATGTTGTAAACAATGTTCCTATGTTCATTGTAAATACATATTTACACACAGACATAGCTCCCGGAAAAAGTCCATTTACACCGTATTGTCCAGTTTTGGTTGAGATTTGAATCTGTCGTCGCTTTTGTATTTATAACTCGATTTTTTTTTATACGAGTTTGAGGAACTGAAAAGGGCGATGGCAAAGTAGAGCTAACTACCACAAATCAGACATGAATATCTATAAAAGCGAGGAGATATTTCTAAACACAAGCACTGTTCCAGAAGGTTAATCACGTCTTTTTTCTTAACAATATTGGCTTTAAGCCAAGGACTCGGTTAAAAGGACAGTATTCAATGGACCTCGATCAAGAAGATACTAAGTACCCAAGGAGAGGTGAAACTGCATGTTTCTATAGTGTACTACATAGTTCTCTTGATAAAAGATATTGCATGAGTACCGGTTTAGTGGTGCAGCGTTTTTCACGCCAAGTCCTGTTAGGGATTCCTCTTGATAATAGGATAGCATCTCGGGCATAATTTTGAAGGATTCTGGAGTTAAAGGGAAATCACTGTGGTTGTCTTGTTGTATGGTAGAATATTGCATATCGACCTCGAAAACGTACCCGATGCTTCCATTAACCGGAATGGAGCTCACGTCTCGAGTCTTAATGTCGCTTATTAACCATTCAAACTCATAAGTGGGCAGAAGCTGGCAGATGGCCGACCCATACAGAGTTGGCATCTAAATACATCAGATAGTTTGAGGCCTGAATGGATCGAAGTCTTGCAGATAACAATTATAAGCTCTACATAATTTTTCTTTAGTAGTTTTTGGTTCTATAAGGTTACCCTCATTGTTGATTGAAGGTTGTCTGGAAAAAAATGGAACGCTTAATTTCATTTATCAAAGTATACATTAACATTTGAACATTGTCAAAATTCACACCTGTGGTTTGTCAACTCCATTGACCTTGATGAAGAAAAAAACAAAATAAGAGAATAAATGAAATATATATTGATAAAAAAATATCCAATTCCATACACATTAATTTTCATGAATTTCCGGAATTGTTGCGCCGTACTTTTCACCACAAAAAGGTTCCAATTCCTCCTCCCAATTCTCTCCAAATATCTGCACATCCTCATATTTAGGGAGAGAAGTGTTCCCTTTTTTGTACACCAACCACCCATCAAACCGCTGTTTGTCCTTACACTGTTAGTAATACTCAAAGCCATCACCCCTTTTCATTTTATGGCTATGGTTAAATTCGCAATAAGTGAAGTTTTTCAGAAGAGCTTTGTTATTTTCGCACATTTAATTAAACGACGTGACAGTCTTTCTTTTGTAATGATATGCGATTTATCATACGGAAAAATAACCATCTGAAATATATCGTCGGGCAGCGACATTTGTCTACCATTGTTGTTGTCTAG